ATTATGAATAAATAATTCTAATAAATATGTTACAGCAAAACAATAACATAAGCAAAATCTACATGAAAACAAAATTCTGATGTAGTAATAAGTACCATACCTAGTAGTCAGCATCAAATAATGCTTGCTATCTATTTCCATGCATATAATATCCGAAATTTGGCAATAAAAATGGTGGCAAAATATATGCAATTATATATTTGGGTAGAATTGTTATGCAGGTGAAATAATGGTTCATTGTTTTAACAAAGTATTCATGAGGAGAATTCTTTGAACTTACACATAATTCTCTAATCTAGGTGTTAAACTTGAGGCTGAAAATCTAGCACATAGTTGAGTCAGAATGTAATTTGTGTTTTAGAGTTACATGAGTTCTTACAAATTCTCTGCATTTTATAGCTATAACTGGAACTTTGAAAATATTATGATGTATTTATCATTACCTAGCATTTGGCCATTTTATTATCCATTACTTCTATTAATTTTTAATTTGACATCATTGTCCAAAGGCAAAACTATATAACTAATAACTCATGTTGGCTTTTTCCACTTCTGAATGTTTAGTAGGAAATACATATTCAGTAATTTAAAGACCATCTTGATTAGTCTCTGATCATGCATCTGATTTTAAAAATTCTGGCAAAGAGTCCTCATCATTTCAGACCAAATGCCTCTAATTTACACTGGCTTATCTCAGAGTAAATCAAAATAACACCATTCTTCTTAAAATCCAACATCCTCCAAACCATATACAAATGAACTGTAATATACAAGGTATTTGTTCCCAGTATAGATAAGTGACCATTAAATTGGATAGCCATGATAAGCATGTGAGACTGGAAATCTCAGAATTTTCTAGTAGAATACTTGTTCATACTTCTATTCAATATTTCACTATTCATTTTCACAGTAGAATATGTACCATCAGACTCAGTGTCGCCCTAGAGCTTTGATTCTTGCAAGACTTATGTTAGAACCAATATCATTCTTTTATTTAAAGTCAGTACAATAGCAATCAATCTATAGTAGAGGGAAGTTTGGATAGATGGATATATTATTAGATGGATTCATGTGAAGATGTTAATAACACAGCATCTTTTTTATCTTTGTACTTCTTAGCAATTTTTATTATTTTAGATAGGAATCAAGATGTGTATATTAATTTCATGGCAATATAGACAATAAAATTACCTATACATATAAATGGTAGTTTGGCTCCCCTGTGATGGGAGATGTCATCCTGTAAGTATGTTTCTCATACTGGTTAACGAATAAAGCACTGTTGGTCAATAGGTAAGCATGATAGGCGGGACTAGGAGACAAGGAAGATTCGAGGAAGTAATAAGGAGGAGTCAATGTGGAGAGAAGAGAGAGCAGACGCCAGCCCTACTCTCCATTAAAATGAGACTACATGAAAATACTTAGATTAATAGAAATGGGTTAATACTTAAGACAGAGCTAGCTGATAAGAAACAAGTAACTGGCTAATAGTGTTATATCAAATACAAAGTCTCGGTGTAGCAGTGGGATCAGAACAGCTGGAAGAACTACTCTTAACATTATGGCACTGCAACGTGGCTAAGAAGAACTTCCATTTGAAATTTAAAAAAAAACCTTAAAAAATGATTTTAGAAACCAAAAAAAAAAAAAAAAAAAAAAAAAAACAGAGAAAAACAAGGCTTCTTGGTAGCAGCATTTTCCTCGGTTGGACTTTGTTTTGTTAGATTCAAACAGAGATTTTCACAGCTCCTTTAAGGGAGGTTCCCTGACTCTGCATGAGCGGCAAAAAAGCACATGGCTTTTAAGAAACTCTGCTAACAAGTTATTGGTATATATCAGAACTGGAAATAGCAGTGACCACATCTCCAATCCGGCAACATGCTGCTGGGTGGTAGCATAGACAAAGATAGTGAGCATAGCTCTCAGTTCTGGCGGAAAAGTTGCCAGCTGCCATCTTGGATATACCATGGCTAACACAGCTATGACTTTCATTTTAGCAATATTGTTGTTTGCCAGATAAAAGACTCATAGATACAAAAAGTTAAAGATTTACAGTAAAGACAGATTCACATTAAGAAAACCTCTAAAGGTTTACAGTGTGTTCTAAAATATATGTGGGCTTTGGAGAGAAAAGGAATAAAATGGTTTTAAAAAGACAGAAAGGACCTAGATATGGTGACCCAGAACTCAGGAGACAAAGGCAAGCAGATCTCTGTGATTTCAAAGTACACTTGGTGTACAGAGTGAATTCCAGGACACATAAAAGTTACACAGAGAAACCGTGTCTCAATAAATGAAAAAAAATAGAAGTAGAAGAAATAGAGTAATAAAAAAGCCATGAAAAGATGGGAAGCACAGAGGGAATCTGGATACTGTACAGTATTGGAATCATATTGTCTTTGTATCATTTGACTGCTGACTAAATAATAACAACTGTTAAAAAATGCTTTTGGATTACTTCAATTTATATATTTTAAAAATGCTTTGACTCAAAAATTTAAGTTCAAGGACAAGTAACTGGGGAAAAGGATTTCAATTTTTGTTTCCACAGAAATTAAAAAGCTGTGGATTCCTTCTAGACTAATTTGGTTTGATCAAGCCAGACCCCCTGAAACAGAGTACCAGGTAGAACAGGGTAGCCTTTCAAACTACAGCCAAGATTTTTGCATCTTCTTAGGATCCCCAATGACAGCACTCCCTACCAGCAGGAAGCAATTTGGAAAGAATGACACTAAAATTCCCAAATATTGTCTACAAATGTTTGTTTTCATTTAAATGGTTAATGACCACAACCAATGTTTTTTTAAAGGTTAAAAGGGGATTATGGTATAGATATGAATAATTTGTTTTGGAATGGATTTTCATTTATTGATACAAATTTAAGGTCAATTTTATGATATGTATACTTCTCCTTTTGTTTAGGTATTTTGTTTATATAGCTCATTTAGAAATGTAATGTATAATGTAGTACATATTATACATAATTACCTATAATAGTCAAAGCTTAGAGTTAAGTTAGTTAGGTTTGCAAGATACACAGAGATGTATTTGAGATAAATAGGCATTCTTCAAATCTTTCAAAGAAAGACCTACAGAATATGGCATTTAAAATGGCTTAGGGTTTTTTCTTGACAGTGAGACATAAATGCTCCTGGTAATACTACCTGTGTCAGAAAAGAAGATGGACTTCGAAGAAATGGATTATGAAGTTTACTTTCAATATGGCAAGATTCGCCATTTGGGCAAGATACTGCTCTTGTCTGAACTGTTTGACTTTATGCCGTATAAACTAGACATGCAGGGCCTACAGAAAAGTGACTGCTGATTCAAGATGGACATTGCTACAGAGTTCCTGCTTCATGGAAAAGTCTGCCAGTCTACAGAAAACAGAAAAAAATGACTGACAAATTACCACTACAGATGGACAGTTTAAAATTTCCTGCTATGCTGCAGAGTATGCCAGATACACTATGGCCTATAGGCTGAAGATGGAACATTAAAGAAGAACTTCTAGTGACTGACTAAACAGTGAGTTGTCTCTGTCATTTCTAGAGTTTATATACTATCCTTCTGTGGACTTTGAAGGAGTTGAAGACAGATAGTTATGGTTACAGTTTTCCTTAGTTAGGATTAAAGATAAGTGGACTTTAGACTCACAAAGATAGAATAGATGATGGAATATTTTCTTAAATTTTACAAAGTGTCAATCGACTAAATATTGTCAACTGTGATTCTATTTGATAACTGTTGTGTCATACATTTTGCTATGTTAAAGTTAAAACCCTTCTTTTTATTTAGAAAGAAAAGAGGAGATGATGGGAGATGTCATTCTGTAAATATGTTTCTCATACTGGTTCATGAATAAAGCACTGTTGGCCAATAGGTAAGCAAGATAGGCGGGACTAGGAGATAAGGAGGATTAGAGGAAGTAGTAAGGAAGGGTCAACATAGAGAGACGGGAGAGTGCAGATGCCAGCTCTACTCTCCTGTAAGATGAGACCACATGGAAATACTAAGACTAATAGAAATGGGTTAATACTGAAGACAGAGCTAGCTGACAAGAAACAAGTAACTAGCCAACAGCGTTATATCAAATACAAAGTCTAGGTTTGTTATTTGGCGTGGCAGTGGGTCCATACTGGTGGGAAAAACTAGTTGTAACACCCCTGAATCTAAGGCATTTTAATAATATATAGGTAATAGATATATGGCTCTTAATATGCCAACGTCTTCTATAATTGCTTTAGCTAAATTAATTTATTAACTTCAATCTAACTTTAAAATGCAAATAGTGTTTATTCCCATTTATGAGTAATGAATATCTCTAATGTTAGCTTAACTTTATTTATTTTTTTTCTGTACTGTTGCCAAAGTTCTTAACTATCCAGGTCTAAATTTTGTACACAGATATCCAAGATACACTACCTTCTGTGTGTTATTTTATGTTTGAATTTAAGCAATTTGCCTCTTGGAAGGAGTAAGAGCTCAATCATGTTGGTTCATGCTGGAAACATGAACTAAACAGATTGTGAACCTATTACCATAACAAAGTCTTTTAAAGGTAAAATTCTGCTTCATTGAAGTATAGACTTGTTTTAGTATTTATATTGATCTAATATATTTTATAAACTTGTGAATTTTACTATTGTCTCAGCTTTTGTTAAGACAATAACTTGGGATATAATAATTGGCTAATAAACATGATTTTCCTGTGTGGGATAAAATAAGGAAATAAAAAACAATTAGTCATATTAGTATTAAATGAGTCCAAAATGTAAATAGTATAAAAGAAAACATGTTTGAAAATTTTTCCCTTGATTCACTAGCTGCAAATGTAAGTGTTCAAAGAAAACTCTTAGATGACATAAAAGTTTTTAGTCATCCAAGTAATTAAAGAAGATATTTGTACCAATCAAATATCAGTAAAGAAGTTACATGGCAGAGACTCTGAGATTAATGTAAATATGTCTTCATTTTCAAAAGTTAGTCATTAATCATACCTGAATAACTTTTTGGGACTGCACATCAACAATCAAGATTCTATCCAAAGTTGGCTGAGCAACATAAATTAACTTGTCTTTGACATTAACAGCAGAAGCCCACACACATCTCTGCACTTCATCTTCTTCAACTTTGGGACAGACTTCATCCTTTATTTTAGGAAACAGAAAAACAAAATTACATCCTATATTATAACATGGAAATGGCAGTATTTTGAGTCACATTAATGTTTAGTGATTTAGTACATTAAATGATAATGTTCAAATAAATAAGTGTGAGGCAACAGAACACAGAGAAAATTCAGGTTCATTGCATATGTATAGAAAACAATGTAAAGAAGATTCCAGCTACCCCAATTAAGCAGAGTAGCAGAAGAGAAACCACAGAGATGATTTTTCATTATTATGAGGAAGGGTTTTAGTTTCAGATGAGAGACAGAAAATATTGGAAGACATACAGAAGTGTCCGAAGCATTGAGAAAAGAAATCAGTTTGGACATAGCCAGGCCGAGGGACTGAGAATTGTAGAGGATAACAAGAAAGAAAACAATGAGAATAGCTAAGGAATGGAGAAAACCTTGCCATTGTACAGAGAAAGAATGATATATGTGATGAGGGAAGCCTGTGAATTAGAATAATCTTTCTGTGTGATTAAGGGCTGGAGGAGCCTAGAGGCTAGTATGTACTTTGATATAGTGAAAGGTGTTGCAGGTATATTCCAATTTGAGCAATGTGGCAAGTAGAATGACTTCCTTTAGCAGTTAGGAACTCATTTAACAATTCCTATGGAATGCTGGTTTTTACCTAATAGCCAAATCAGCCAAATCCTTCTATATTCCAACCTGAGTTGGGCCTCCACTCAATTTTAATGGGCTTGTTTTTTTTTTGTTTTTTTTTTTTTTTTTTGTGAGGGTAACAAGGTACCCTTTGGACCTGATACCCACTTAGTGATTTTACTGGTGAAATGTAAAACCTTTTCATTTTTACCACTTGCTTAGTAACTCAACATTTTATTAAATCTTAGTAACCTAATATTCTTTTCAGACATTCCAGTGTCAAGTGTCTTTGAGAGAACAAACAGAAACTGGAAATGGGTCTTTCTCTCAACAATACATCCCAAAAACAGGTTCCCCTCCATTCACTCCTCCTAGCTCCCCGTCACCTCCCCCTCCCAGCCAAGGATCTACTCCCCCTCCTTGTCTTCTTCAGAATAGAGTCAGCCTGTAGGAGATGACAGTCAAAAAGGACAAAACCAGATACAGTAAGACAAGTCAAGAGCCTTCATATGGAGGTTGGACAAGGCAACACAACAGGAGTAAAAGAATCCCAAGTACAGGCAAGAGTCAGTGAAACAAACACCCACACTATTAAGAGACCCCCCCAAAAAAAGCACCAAGCCAACATGACAAAATGCCAGCAGCTGCCTTCTTATACTACATTTCTGAGTGCACTCATGCACAACTGGTGAATGACCATTGATTGCACAGATTTACATTTTTTTTAACTAATGTTGACTTTCGTTTATCTGCACTTTCTTGCGCACTGTATTTATACACTATCAAATCCCAAACTACTTTAGTGTACCTGCTTTCTTCTCTAAAAAAACACAAAATAGTGCTTCTTGTATATACCATTTATTATCTTTGTTTCAAAGGATTCAGCAAAATAGTGACATCAAACATGTTTGATTATATTTAATATTCAATAATACTGTATACTCAGGTAGCATAGCCATTGCAGGTAATTATCATGTTTGTCTTAAAAAGGTGCAATTCCATGGAATAACAGATCATTTTGTAATGAGGTAGTTGTGGTCTAATGTTTACGTTTTGTAACATTTACCAGCTCAAATAAGTTTGGTTTGTAAGGATTAGGAGCACTCCACTTCCCTGTTCTTCAAGGCATTCCATTGGTCACAAAGCAACCTGTAAATAACCTGTAATCCAAGTCATCAGTTTTGAATGATACAGATAGCTCTGGGTTAGGAAAGGAATGTTGTTGATAAACACCATAGTGGCTGTTCATCAGTGGGCCTATGAAGACTGACATGACAGGTTAGAGAAGTCATCCAAACTTAGAGGCAGAACCTGTTTAAAACAGACTTTAGTTTTGAATTTCATTCTTCAGTTCCCATGAAACACCTCAGTAACTTTTCTTCAGAACTGTACTGAATGTCATTGAAGCCCTATTTCCTATTTTTTTTTAAGACATAAACACTGGATAAGATATTTATGGATGTACAAAGTGCTGAGAGGGAAGTTTGACCTAAGGTTGATGTCTGATGAAACACCCTGAATATAAGGAAATTATTTACAAATGTGTTGTTTTTGTGAAAAATCTTCTCACTAAGTCTGCAGAAGTAACACAATATGAATGATATGACACATAGCTGTCAGCCAAACAACTGCCAGACCAGGAGCAATTTCTACAGTGCTGTTGCTTCAGAATGATTCAACAGTAAATTTAATTGCTTAACTTGGGGTTGATTTTGTATTTTTTTTATACTGTTCCCAAAAGACATCCCTGGCCAGACTGACTTGTAATCCTTTTTTAAAAGCCATTAGAAGTTTCCTCACAGACACCTTGAATTTCCTTTATTCTCCTTATGTCATTATTTCTGATTAAAGCCAGTTAGGTTCCATTTAATGATAGCACTACTCTGTTTCAGATTAGGCATATTAATACTTATATTTGTGGGTGGCAATTATATATAAATGTTATTCATGAATTAAGCATTTAATAGGAAAAGACAAAAATACCGGCAGTAAAAAACATTAAAATAATACATGCTAATAGGAAAAGTGTCAGGAAGAAAAGTATAATTCTATTTAAAAATTAGAGTTTATTCTAGTTGGGTCATTTTCATATTAAATCATGTTTCATGCGTATCTGTCATGTTACCCCAAAACATTAAAAGTCCATGAGATTATGTTGGACATGGTAAAAATTTTAATTTTGTACTTTAATAGCATCCTTGTTACCTAATTCTCAAGACGTTAGGAAGTAAAAATAAATAAAGAAAGAAAGAAAGAAAGAAAGAAAGAAAGAGAGAAAGAAAGACTACAGACACTTGTTTTAACTTGGGAATTCATCATTGTAATTTTTATACTGATTATACATTACAACAATTTGGCCTCAAATGACTTGTTTACTATCTTACCTCTTACTCTTCCTGTTCCTACTTTTATCAAACCTTGCATTACTGCCCTTGAGAAAGGCAATTTTATTATATTTCATTTTCTTTAAGTACTTCCATGTTTCAGTCATCCAAAAATTTCTGTGAATAGTATGTCTTCCTTTCTACTACCATCTTTCCACCCTTCCTTTCAATTGCTTTAGAGACAAGATTTCAAAGCTGACTTTCAACTCTCTATGGCTTTGAACTCCCATTATTCCTGCCTCTACCCCCTGTCAGGATAGCTATGAGTCACTGTTTATGATGTTTCAAACACTTATTTTGTTGGGCAATATCCTTTCATTACTATGAAACAGGGCTGGAAAATAAAAGGTGCAGAAATACATTCATTCTACTGTCTAATTCACTATCATCCAGGAGTTAAAACTTTTTTATATCTTTTAAGAATAAAATAAAGTAGAAAGAAGACAATACAATAATTGCATACTGTGAAAGCAGGAATAAGATTCAAGTTTCTGTAAATAAAGTGTCCTTGATGTACAGCTACAGTGACCCATTTAAGAAAACAAAATGGCTGCCTTTCTGTGATAGTAGCCATGAGTGCATGGGATACAAAGCCAAAAACATTGTCCGTGTAGAAAATTTGCTGATCTATGACTTCATACAATCCCTACCCTAGTTATAAGGCTAGTTCTCAGTTAAATTATTTTCTATCCTGTTGGATTTTCTTTCTGCTAATTGTGGAAAGCCAGAGCTCAAAACTGGATTCCTTGATGCATTGACACATTTCCTGTATACTAAGTGCTCATTCATACTGAGGACCTTGCATGATCAGAAGGTACCATACAAAAATGTTTGGTTATCCCATTCATCAGACTTCCATCCATTTAACTCGTTCCAGAAAAGTTGCAAGGTATATATCAATGAACAAATACACACACACACACACACACACACACACACACACACACACACAAAAGGAATATTTGAAGTAGTGAAAGCTTGAATAAACACTCAAACCAAAAACAAGGCGAAATGTTTGTTTGTATGTCTATAGGTAGGCAGATAGATTGAGAAACAAGATAAAGTTTAGTTTATGCAGGTTGTATCCCTGGTGTACAAAGGACTTTGGGAGTATATTTTCCATGTAGGGATACTTCCTTAGCCTAGAGGCAGGAGGAAGAGCCTAGTTCCTACTCCAAACGACTTGACAGAATATATATATATATATATATATATATATATATATATATATATTGATTTATGTTAAGAAAACTTCAAAAATAAAGGAAAGTTAAGGGAAGGAAGAAAGTAAGGAAGAAAGAAGAAACAAAAAAAGAAAAAAGAAAGAAAGGAGAGAGAGAAGAAAGAAGATTGAGGGTCCATAAAGAAACATTGAGTATTTAAGTCATTTCTAAACATTTTATATATACACACACACACACATAAATACATACATACATACATATATAAGTTGTCATGTAAAATAGCCTGACAATTAGGAACAAAAACCAAAGTGTATACTGCTATAATATGTAAAGACTGACAAATGTAACAGTAAGGCCATCAATTGTGATGAGACTAATTAAAAGCCAGGCCAGATTCGCTCAGTTGTATGTAGATGTTATCCAATGATTTGAATAGTCAGGATAATCACTGTTTTATGCAACTTACACAACCATGAATGAAAAAGTTGGCATTAGCATTATGACCCATAACAGCATATTAGTAGCACATAAGATATCCTAAGATATGCACAAAATATCATGAACAAAGAATTAAGCAGCAGCATGTATTCATCTCAGAGTGTGTTGTAGACAGCCATACGTAGACAGGGACAATTGAAAAGATGTTGGAGCAAAGGGGCCAGGGACTGACATCTTAACAATTAAATAGGTACACATGACCACTTAGATTGAAAGTGTGCAAGATGCTACACAGTGTTCTTGTTTCTTGCTGGTAGTTGGGGAACAGACACAGGTTTGAGCAACTTTGGTTTACCTCACTTCTGTGC